AACCAATTAGCTATATTCGACGAGTATACTCGTCACGCAGCAATGGCGCGTAAAAAGTAATTTAATTACCTCGGCTATTTAAAATACAATTGGCTGTTTAAATCGTAATTATAATTGCTCTGTGTTCGACGAGTATACTCGTCGTCGCTTGATTCTCGCGACACGTATAAGCTGTCTCTTATACACATCTAGATGTGTATAAGAGACAGCTTATACGTGTCGCGAGAATCAAGCGACGACGAGTATACTCGTCGTCGCTTGATTCTCGCGACACGTATAAGCTGTCTCTTATACACATCTAGATGTGTATAAGAGACAGCTTATACGTGTCGCGAGAATCAAGCGACGACGAGTATACTCGTCGTCGCTTGATTCTCGCGACACGTATAAGCTGTCTCTTATACACATCTAGATGTGTATAAGAGACAGCTTATACGTGTCGCGAGAATCAAGCGACGACGAGTATACTCGTCGTCGCTTGATTCTCGCGACACGTATAAGCTGTCTCTTATACACATCTAGATGTGTATAAGAGACAGCTTATACGTGTCGCGAGAATCAAGCGACGACGAGTATACTCGTCGTCGCTTGATTCTCGCGACACGTATAAGCTGTCTCTTATACACATCTAGATGTGTATAAGAGACAGCTTATACGTGTCGCGAGAATCAAGCGACGACGAGTATACTCGTCGTCGCTTGATTCTCGCGACACGTATAAGCTGTCTCTTATACACATCTAGATGTGTATAAGAGACAGCTTATACGTGTCGCGAGAATCAAGCGACGACGAGTATACTCGTCGTCGCTTGATTCTCGCGACACGTATAAGCTGTCTCTTATACACATCTAGATGTGTATAAGAGACAGCTTATACGTGTCGCGAGAATCAAGCGACGACGAGTATACTCGTCGTCGCTTGATTCTCGCGACACGTATAAGTGCGCGCTCCGAAAAGGAGATAGCGCCGCACAGCAGCTAACTGGTTGTTAAACAGGTGAAATCGCCGAGATGTCGCAAGCTCATTCGCATAGCGATAAAAACTCGAGCTAGTGAATCATCAGCCTTTATCGAAGCAAGCCGCAAATTTTAAGCGTCGAGCAATAATCCACGTGGGAGTAGAGGCTGATCTAACGAAAGCCAGAGATAGGACGCGTCGCGTCGGTCACACAACGCGCGAGTGCACCGAGATCGTGTGGAAGGCCTGGTTATGCCAGTATAGTGTATCACTATCGACGATTACGTGTTACAATGCAAACGTCAGGCTCCGACAATTAACACGTCGACCGTCGCGTGACGAATGCGCAAGCGTCGAAATTACCCGTGCGGATTCAGAAATGAATTGTTTCGCTAATATTTCTAATACTTCGTTCGAATCTTTATTTTCTATTTTTTTTCTTTATTTTCTCGACACGTGGTTGCGCAATTTTAGTTCGTACTCTGTGTTACCAATTTATTTGTATTTTTATTTACCGATCTTTCTTCTTTATTTTCTATCGTTTGCTTCGAAATTTTTGTATCGCAGTTTTTTATTGATTCGTTCATTTAATTCGATTCGTTTCGATCGTATGGAAACTTTGAGGTCGCCGGATTCGTAACCGAAGCGTTAATCAAATTCAAATGCTATTTCTTATCGGTGTGTATTCAATGATGCACGGATGACAGCGCTTGCCGCAACATGTTTTTGTTGCATGCAGCACGCGAGGAGGAGCAGAATCTTCTCTCTTAACGTGGCATCGTTCGGCATCAGGAAATATCTCGGAACGCTGTGCAAGCAAGACTGTAATCTACTCTCTACGATGAAATCGTAATACTCTCATGCTCTCCGCAAACCAATAATTCATTTTTTTTTCGACTCGAGAAAACCAAGTAAGGTTTCGGTCTTAGGAAGTTTCCTTTTAATGTGGACTCTGGATACCGTTCAGTTTTTTTCTTTTTTTTTCTTTGGAAATACTAGTACAAATCTTCTAGTGACCTTGATATAAGCTAGAAAGAATTGCGGATAGTGAAATAGCAAGTTTTCGTTACTGGTTGCGACTTACTAGCTAGTAAGGCAATTAATCGGCAATTTTCAATTTTCAATTTTCAATTATCAGTTTTCAATTGTCAATTGTCAATTTTGCAATTGTCAATTTTGCAATTGTCAATTTTGCAATTGTCAATTTTCAATTTTCAATTGTCAATTTTCAATTGTCAATTTTTATCATCAATTTTTAATCGTCAATTTTGAACGGCCAGTTTTCAATCGTCAATTCTTAATCGTAAATTTTCAATTGTCAACTTTCAATCGTCAATTATTAATCGTAACTTATCAATCGTCAATTTTTAATTGTAAGTTTTCAATCATCAATTTTCAATCGTGGATTGTCAATTTTCAATCGTAAATTTTCAATCGTAAATTTTCAATCGTAAATGATTAATTCATTTTAAATAGTGAAGCTTACCAGATAGCGGGGAAATTGTGGCTCCAGTTGATCATCGTTCAATGAAAATAAACTAGCTTCAAGAAATTAAACAGACATTGCGAACGTATATGATACAACAGAATAATATCTACCAAAAAGTAATCGCAATCATGCGTATATGGTGTGATCAATAAAATAATCACCCCGTCATGTGACCATGGTCACACCTGTTGCTACGATTGCTGCTAGGAATATATCAATAATCTACATTATCAAGGAGAACGTGCAACATTGCGGAAAAGAACCGAAGTACAAGTTCTGATCCAAGCATCGATCCACCATTACGTTGTCTGCACGTCGAGATATGAAGTCATTTTTCTAAAGCGATAACAATTTTTGGTAGTTTTGATACGATATACGATAGTTGTAGTAGCTTTGAAATGATAAAATTTGATATGACACTAATTAACGAGTCATTAGGCTACATCTGTATGCATCTGTAGTCTGAACAATTTTTTAATTTTCCTTAGATTAGATTTCCACGATTTACAACAAATGCCTAGAAGTTTTATAAAATTACGTTATTGCAAGGGCTCTCGTCAAGTTAATAATTCGTTATGCTATCTATACTACTCTATAGTATAATTCAATCCCCAATATTGTCAGCTCTTGATTTCATAAAAATATTGGAATTAGGTGAAGGTTTCAAACTGGAACTTATAGCACACCACGTGCTATAAATGCAAACTTTTGCAAATGTTAATTTATTCTGTCTCATTTCTCGTATATTGGATCAATCGAAATGAGAATTTATTCGAGAAGAGACTCGAATTCTGTAACCGAAATGTTTATCGATTCATTTTTACTCGATCATCTCTCGTAATATCTCACGTCCTGTGTAAGGCATATCTGGTCTCAATTACATGGTTAATCATCGAGATTAACACTAGAAGTACCTCCGGCTATCGAAGTAACACGTGATTTTCACGAAAACTCTGAAAAAAAATGATACGTGTAATGTGTAACGGTGTAACGTCTAATCTCCGGATTGTTACGCGAGTACAATGTAATATGATTTAACAATAAAAGATTTGAAATGAGTCATTTCGGTTCATTCGATAGGTCTACTGTCATAGTCTTTCGATAACAACGTTTTCGATTACCTTGGTTACCCGTGATTATGCTACTCGATTCCGAAACATGACGCAAATTTTCCGGCACGTTACAAATCCCTTCAACTAACATTTTACATTCAAATCTCGCACGGAATGCATCGCCTAAACTGCGTTAATTATAGAATATGTTCACTGATATTTGAAATTGCGAATACTATATCGTTAGGTTTCCAATGTTCCATAGTCATCTTGAATCTCGAGCTACTATTACGAAAATATGCGAATACTCGAAGCGGAAAGAACAATAATTTATACAAATTTCTAGCGTGGATTCTAAGCGTTCCGCGATCAAATAAGTGTAAGTCAATTTTATTGGTAAATTGGTAAATTGCGGTCGCAATTTTCGTGAAATGCAATTCGTCCAACAATTGCATTCGGATGTTACACGATTGCACAATGTTGCATAAAGAATGACATTCGTTTCGCGATTTGCACACTGTATTCGATTCGTGCGGCTGAGGACCGTTCGAAAAATTCATTCGATACCATTGTTCGAATAAAATTTTATCCGACGATTTTATTCGAAACATTATTCGAAACATTCGAAACATTATTCGAAACATTCGAATCGTTATTCGAATTCTGCTGATAATATTTGATATTCGAATCGTTATTCGAGAACGAATTCTGCCGATAATATTCTATATTCGAATCGTTATTCGAATGAATTCTGCCGATAATATTTTATATTCGAATCGTTATTCGCACGAATTTTGCTGACAGCATTTTATTGTACCGAATTGTACCGATAATATTTCATATTCGAATCGTTATTCGAGAATAAATTTCTCAGATAACATTTTACATTCGAATCGTTATTCGAACAAAATCCATCGATACCATTTAAAATTCGAATCGTTATTCGAACAAAATCCACCAATAACATTCCACACTCGAATTGTAATTCGAAAAAATTTCTCAAACAAAATCGTACTCGAGTCGTCATCCCGATGAAGTTTGATCCGACGAATTCGCTGAAATTCGACTCGAAGAATTAATCCGACGCATCATCCGAATGAAATTCCATTCGAACAATTGATCCAACGCATCGTCCGAAAAAGAAAGTACTCGACGAATGAATTCGAACAAAACATGATTCGACGATCTCTGGCGCCGCGGAACATCGTGCAACCCGTGACACGTCCGCGTCACCGTCGATCGCGGAAAAAATCTTTGTCGCTTGAGGAAGAATCCGTCAGGATCGGTATATTCGGGCCGCTAAACGATTATAATTGTCGGTCCGGTTGATTCGCCGTTCTCGCGCGTCCCGGGAGAAGGTGGACACAGGGAAAAGGGTCGAAGTCTAGGAAAGAGATAAAAGTGAGGGAGGATCCGGCCGAGTGGGGCATGGGCCAAGCCGTGGAGAGGTGGAAGCGGCACTCTCCTTCGAGTATATATGCTCGAAGCGAACGACGGTACGCTACAGTTCACCAAGAGACAAAAGCGACAAGGTTAGGGCCAGAGCCAGTCCACGGGGATATTATAGCAGATACCGCGATTGTACGATTCGTCGATCTGTATCTGCTGACGATAGACGCGAGAACCGTCAACGTGCCCCGCGCCGCAGGAATAAAGTGCGATACCGGTGTGATCCCAAGTGTGAAGTTCGACAGCGGATCCGGAAATCGTTCGACCGGGATACGCTCGCAAGGATCTCGCGAGAAAACGAGAGCAGAATCACGGCGATCGGTGTGCTTAGATCGGTTCGACCCGGAGGAAACATGAGGAGCCACGCGACGATCAACCTGTTCGCCAGTCTGACGGTGCTTTGCGCCCTCGCTGTTATGATAATGCCGGATCAGGCGTACGCTAGGCCGCCACCTTTGCTCAGGTGAGGATCTCGAACGCGATTTTTCACGTTTGCTTTCGCAGAGCCTCGCGGAAGCGAAGCGCCGCTTTCGCGGAGCCTCGCGGTAGCGAAGCGCCGCTTTCGCGGAGTCTCGGAGCCGGTGGTCGGATCCATCGTTATCTTGTTTGTAAGATTCTTAATCGTTGCGCTAAGAGGAATCTTGAACATCTTTTTACGTTTCTTTTCATGTCTAACGTTGTTCATGTCACCGGGGATGGCTCGGTACGCGATTGAAATTCCGCGGATCTAATGTCAACGTTTTATCTATCGTTATCTTATTCGTGAGATTCTTAATCATTGTGCTAATAGGTACCTTGAACATCTTTTTATGTTTCTTTTCACGTATAACATTGCTTATGTCATTGGGGATGGCTCGGTACGCGATTGAAATTGCTATCGCTATCGACCAGTCAGCTGTTGCAACATGTTTGAGAAGAGTCCAAGTTACTGGAATTATTATACTGTATATATTTATAGATTTGTCTTCGTGGTTTGTCTAAAAGCGACGATTTTAACGAATGTATAATTGAATAAAAAATGTCGAAGTATAGATGTATTCTTCTGATGCGAGCTGTTTTTCACGAGCATACTCGTCGCGAAATCGCTACGTTTCTTGGTATCGCGAGTATGATCGTCGAACACATGCTCGTGTCGACGATCGTTTCTTTAGAATGATTCGGCAGAGTCGTTAAAGGGTGTTGAAATATGTTCGCAATCGATGGGTTTCATGATAGCGAAGATTATTGAGACAAATAAGGGACTTAACAGTGCAGAGATTAGAATGTAACAGTGTGGGTCCGAGGAGACCCGGTCAATGGCCGATAGTTGGTGCTCGAACTGGTCAATTAAGAAGTTGCCGATTGTAAATCGCGGCTACTTAAAGTTACGAAATCATGACTGGCGGATGACGGGTTAATAGCAGCGTTATAGTTTTCGTCAGCTTCGAGGATTTGCAGAGGGTGCCAATCGTGGGTCTTGGGTGCTAAACTCGAACAAGTTTAGCAAACCATTTTGCAATCTTTCTTGAATTCTCCCTGATTGTCCTTCAGCTTGTGAACAGAGATGGACGATTTCGGGAGAGGAGATACGATTATGCGAACCTTGCACCTCGTTTTTATAATTGCTGATAATCGGCAGCTATAAAAAATGAGCAGCGAGCCTCGAATAATCGTATCTTCTCTCTTTCCAAATTGTCCATTTCTGTTCAAGAGCTGAAGGAAAATTCGGGAGAATTTATTGTATAATTTTTCAATGTAACATAATTTTTCAGCGTAATAACATATGTATTTAACATCGATTTTTTGTTGATTTTATAATTGATGCAAATTATTTGATTGTTCGCTGAGTCGAATTAAATAGCGAATCCCAAAATCTTGGAATTCGATCATAAAGCAAGGGTTAAGAAAATTGCCTGACTCCAGGTGATTCAGAAAATATATCAGTTGCATCAGAGATTAATTTAAGATACGATTAAGAAAAGAATCGAAAAAATGAATTTTTGTAGCAACAGATTTGCTTTTTAAGTATGCCTTTGCGTTGACCGACGTTACTTCGAATTAGCATGAGATCATGCATTGTAGATCAGCAGTGAACGTGTCAATGATCGTTTCTTGATCAATGATCAATCGAGAGAGTTGCCAGAGGGTATCGTGAAGTGGTCGTGATCGATCATTTTGCGATAGCGAAGATTATTTTGAGACAAATAAGAGAGACTTAACAATGTAAAGATTAGAGCGTAATAGTGTGGGTCTGCAGAGACCCGGTCAATGGCCGATAATTGGTGCTCGGGAGCAGCTTGTGACTTCATCTTGTATCGATAGACATTTATATGACATTTTTATGTTTAATGAGTATCGTAGCATGATCAGATTTGCAGGCGATGCGGGAAATCTGAAGAATTCTGAGGAATCGTTAAAAAATAGAATGTCACGTTTATTTGCAACAGAAGCACCGAGAACAATGGAAGGGTTTATTGACTGAAATTGATCAGTGAGACGAGATTTATTTGTTTCTACTGAACAGTTTGCTCGAAGTAGGATTAGAGGCTGATGATATTAAAAAGACCGTCTGCTCGAAAGCTTTTCCTTTTATTGGCATAATGAACAACGTTGATTCGACAAAATACGCAAAAATTTGAGCGCGATGAAATTTCGTAATTACGATAAAAATACTAATCTTAGAATCTCTGAATTTAAAAACTTCAGAACTTCAGAATTTCTGAATTTAAAAACTTCAGAACTTCAGAATTTCTGAACTTAAAAACTTCAGAACTTCAGAATTTCTGAACTTAAGAATTTCGGAATTTTAGAACTTTCAATCGAAAGATTCTCAATGAAAAATTTGTTGACTCTTCGTTTGTCCCATTTCGTAGTGAAAACGATATAACGATGATTCAAAACGTAATTTTACGAGTTAGAAATATCGAGAAAATAATGCAAGCACAGCTTTCAAAGTTCCCACCGTAACAAACGTAGACTCGCGGTGATTTATTTTTGTATATAAAATAACCTCGCATTGAAAAAAATAGAAAGAAACTTAGATCAACGATATTAAAACCTAATTCAGAGCCATGCATGACTTTTGAGATCCGACAGGTGAAAGAACCTTTTCCCGTTTCCTAGTCGAGATATCGATAACGCTGGGAGCAACTCTCCGGCACGGAAGCGTCTCTCAACTTGTTGCATGAATTTTTAGAGTATCGTCGACGCAAGCTCAAACTGTTTCGCACTGAAATGACGTTAAATCACAGAATTACGATGCGTAAAGCTCGCGTGCACTTTAAAACGCGATTAATTCAAATCGTGCCGCACAGGTCGCTTTATTCGACGCATTCTTTTTACAGGAGATTTTGCTGTTAAAACACAATAATTAGCATTCCGTCTTGCTTTTTTTAAATTCCACGTTAACGGATAACTCTGATTCGAACTTCTCATCGTGGAAACACGGCGCACTGCTCTCTCAGAAATGTTAAAATTCGCTTTGACACATTCGGCTCGCAGCGAACACGCGGTGCCGCATGATTTCTCATGGGAAGCCATAACCACGCATTACCACGTCGCTACATCTATTTTGCATAGTTTTATTTTGTATAGGAACGTGAGAAGATCGTGTTCAATCACACAATGCGTTGGCGGGGATGTTAAAATTCATATAAAAATGACAAAGATAGGGACAATTCGATTCGAAAAAATCATGAGTATAAAAATCGGCGACTATAAAAATGAGCCGCGAGGCTCGAATAGTCGCATCTGCTCTCACCAAATTGCCCATTTTTGTTAACAAGCTGAAGGAAAATTAGGGAGAACTTAGATAATAAGAATCCGACCGAAAAAACGAACGGCTCAGTGCAACGAAAAAATGATCAAAATTAAAGGAAAAATCCCACAACGACGCGACGTTTCAAGTTCCAACCGTGATAGCTATCTGCCCGATACTGTATCGACATGTATTTTGGACATGTCGCGACGAGCACCGGTCGTATCGCGTCCCCGTCTCCTTCGGAATCGCGTTCAAGATGATGATGACTGTGCAACCGTATGGTTGACCGAAGGGTAAAGTGGAGAACACATCGGCGAACCGGTGTAGACGAAGGATACCAACCAGATAAGAAGCACAAGATTTATCTACGTTATCTGGTCAGAACTTTGGAATCGTTTCGGAATCGTTTCGGAATTAGGCGAAGGAAAAAATTCTCTTGTTGATCGAACGACTGCAAAGTGGTTCAATCGACACTTCAGTTCGTAGAGAGCGGAATCTGAAATACCCGAATGAAAAGACTTAAAAATTGAAAATTTTCTGGTTGAACATTCCCAAATTGGAGACTCAAGAGAATGGAAAGATTTCAAGTTAAGAGTTTGCCGAATTAGAAATCATCGAATCGAAAATTGTCAAGTTGAAAATTGAATTTGCCTAATTATGAAATTCTAAATTGAACATTTTCAAGTTGAACTAGATGAATTAAAAAATTGCATGAAAAATTGAAGAACTGAATTAAAAAATCTCGAGTTAAGAATTTACCGAATTAGAAATTCCCAAATGGAAAGATTTCCAAATTGAAAATGTTCAAGTTAAACACTCCCAAATTAAAGATTTTCAAAAATTGAAAGAATTCAAGTTAAGAATTTGCCGAATTAGAAGTTCCCAAGTGAAAAGATTTCCAAATTGAAAATGTTCAAGTTGAACACTCCCAAATTGAAGATTGCCAAATTAAAAGAATTCAAGTTAAGGATTTGCCGAATTTCAAATTCCTAAATAAAACAATTTTCAAGTTGAACACTCCCAAATTGAAGATTCGCAAATTGGAAGATTTCAAGTTAAAAATTAGTCGAAATATTCAGCACTAATGTTAAAACAGCCTCGAATGGTTAATCGATCCTGAAATCTCGAAAATGCTAATTTTTCCAAACGAGGCGCCGGAGTTGCACGGAATTAGAGTCGCAGGCGGGAGAGATCTTCTCTATCGTTGATTCCGATTGGCATGCTGCTCGTCAGGACACTTATGAAAAGTGATAATGTCGGAGGCAGTGATAACGAAAGCTTCGGCATACATAAGGGAGATTAACGTGTCGGCGGATGATGCGAAATTAACGGCGATCGACAAACACGGTATTATCCTGCGAAGCCTGCATGATCGCGGCTGGTATCGCCCCCTCCCCTCACCTTTTCCGTATTTTTTCACCGTCGTAATGAAATTCTCGATTCCACCGATCTAACAATAAATTTTATCGCGACGTTTATCGCGGCCGTAGCCACGGGAGTTTTCATTAGAGGGCAGATGTTACGTCGATAAGTATTTTTTTATACCTTTTGCCACTTGATTTTTTCTGAAGGGATATCGCCGGATTTTATTGTAGAGCGTTCGCAAACATTCGTTTCCGATGAAATAAAGAAACTGTGATTTCACTGCAAAATTCGTTGGTTTATTATTTTCTGATAATCTTTTCTAAAATTAAATAATAGGAAAGTTCAACAGATGAGAAACAAGATAGCATAGAGTAAATATTTATAATTAATGCTTTTCTAAAAATTTCTGTCAGCTTTAAATAATAACCATAATTATTCAACATAAAGCTCGTTGTTACGTTCAATAATATTATTATTATTCTGTATAAAAAATCATTTTTAACGTCACATACAAAATTATAGCATTCGATATTCATGGAAAAATGATGTAGTAATAATGTTAATAAAGAAGAAACTGTGAACATAAGTTGTGTACTTTTAAATGGAGAACTCTGGTACTCGTGAACAGATGACGCAATGGAGCACCGATTAGTTCGTGTCATTCTGGTGTTAAGTTGTCGAAGAACTTGGAAACTTGAAAAATGACATCAACTTTATGTTTAACAAATTTTCTTAATCGTCGGCTGCCGGAGAATTCGCGTGCCTGCTCCGTGAAAGTTTACCGACTGATGTAATTACATACTCACACGTCACCTCGTTGCAAGTCATCCTTACGTGTTTGGATAGCGATACGCAGAGAAATCATTCTCAGTCCACGATATTCCCGTCACGTTTCGCGAAATCTATGGTGGTTCGCTATCGTTTAACATGTTTCTGATCGTTCGATGACCATGCTGTGTATATTCAAATAATTTAAACAAAATTGGAAATTCAGAGAAACTATGGAATTCAAACGATATGTGAAATTTCGAGAAAGTTAGGAATTCAGAGACAATTACAAATTTAAACGATATTTGAAATTTAGAGACGATTACAAATTTAAACGATATTTGAAATTTAGAGAAAATATGGAATTCAAACGATATTTGAAATTTCGAGGCAATTACGAATTTAAACGATATTTGAAATTTAGAGAAAATATGGAATTCAAAGAATACTTGAAATTTCGAGAAAATATGGAATTCAAAGAATACTTGAAATTTCGAGAAAATATGGAATTCAAAGAATACTTGAAATTTCGAGAAAATATGAAATTTAAACAAAATTTCAAATCAGCAAAATAATCACGAAAACCATGCTCGATTTCACGTGCATTACACTGACATTTTAAACATGGAAATCAAAGAACAGTGAAACTGTAAAAAAAATTGTACTCAAACCAACCGAACATATTTTTGTCGATTTATTTGTCACATTTCTCCTCGAGTGTCCTCGATTGTCCTCGATTAATATAACCCGCGCTCGTACGAAATCTCTCGTATCTACGATTTCCAGAGAATTCAGTTAATTATAAGCGCTGGCCCTCTAAATATAAGCGCGCGAGCGAGATAAGAAGCTCTCGTTTCGATTCCCGCGAGTGAAAAGTCTGTCCAAAATTTCGGCTCGCCCATTCGTTCCTCGTGCTGATAGATCGTGAAAAATCTGTCGAGCGAAATCGTTTGGCCGGCCGTCGCACAATGAAACATATTCGTCCGAATTGTTGCGCGAATGTTGCGATGCTGACGAGCCTGTTTTTGTTACGTTTGCAGCCGGCAGAGGCGAGTGTCGGATCAGAGGCTCGCCGAGATCGAGACGCTGCTTGGATTGGAAAACGTCCGTGGAAAAGTGGTCACGGTGCCTGTTGCATTCGGCGTGCTGGATCCAGATAAAATGTGAGCAACGACTTACGTAATCTTATATAAAGGTCAGCCGTTATCGGGCGCCGGTTCGTTATCGGCGCGCGGATGGCCCCCGAAATCTTTCGGGCCGCTGCAAAATTAACAGATGAACGGCTCATTACGCTCGTATCGCGTCTGCCGATCTGATCCCCATTGACCGTAACGAGTGTAATAACAGAGCGTCATTCGATCGTAATCGGAAAGAATCGAGGAATTCGAATTATTTCGTGTCTTATCGGCCGTCTCCGTGCCCGTCCTCTGTCCGCCGATTGCTCGCGTAAGTTTCCTTCGAATCGGTCAATGGTAAATTCCTCGATATACTATCGGACGAATCGATTAATTGCGCGCGATAAGACGAGCCTCGTTAATTTACATTTTTTTTTAACGCATTTTAACGCGGAGCGGGGCAATTTATTTCCTGCACTTTTTACAATCGTCTCGACGAAATTCGTGCGAGATTCCATGTTCAATTTCCTGCATTGTCTCGCAGCGTAGACCGATGTACTCGAAGATTCGGTATTTTTAAGCAGCGATTAGGCCGCAGGTTGTTTTTTTAAAGCGGCTGTTACTATGCTATTAATCTCTTGGAGCACCGATTTTTTTTGGGAGGAGGAGCGATATGATCTCGCGCGGCTTCTGGTTAATTACACATTAAATGAAAGCTCGAATAATACGCGCTCGTTAAGAACTTCGCGGTTGATGCACTGAAATAATCCATGAATGATACTATGAATAGTTCATAAATGATGCTGTAGATAATTCGTAAAAGATGCTATAAATACAATCCATAAAAGATAGTACAAATAAATCGATAGGAAATGCTACGAATAAATCTATCGTGTAAATAATTAAGTACGATGAATGAGACATTTATCGGGGAGGATTTATTGCGTGATCTTGGAACGCGGCGCGACGAGAATAAAGCTCTATTTTTAAAGAGAAAATCAGGAGAAATGAGGGGAGAAGCGAGAAGAATCGATGTTAATAACGATAGTGCAACGTTCCGATTCTCGGGTTCAGGAATCTCGTGGCGTACGCGATCGCGATCACATAAAGCAGGCCGCCGTTTATTTCGGACGGCCCGCGAGCTTTTTTTAATTTCCTCCGCCGACCATAACGTGCTATTATTTCCGCGTGAAATCATTTCGTTTCGCGCGCGGCCACGCGATCGCGCGCCGCCGCGTATCGATCACTCGCCGCGAGTGACAATTGTTCCGTTGCAAATATTTTCAACGTTTCTCAAAAAAAAAAGAGAAGGAAGAAAAAGTAAAACGCAATTCGAAATATTATCTTAACATCCTTTTTTATTTTACAACGAATCGAATCTTTTATTTTCTCAAAGGTAAATTGTTCACCGAACAAGATGTGCTAAACTTTTTTTTATTCGAAAATAAAGCAAATTACGAATTATGATGCAATTTAATTAGAATCACGAATTACGATGTAATTGAACTGAAATTACAATGCAATTGAACTAGAATTATGAATCACGATGTAATTGAATTTCGAATTACGGTGTAATTGAATGAGAATTACGAATTACAGTGTAGTTGAATTGAAATTACGAATTATGATATAATTGAACTAAAATTACTGTATTACTGATGTAATTGAACTAGAATTATGAATTACGATGTAATTGAACTGCGAATTACGGTGTAATTGAGTGAAAATTACGAATTACAGTGTAGTTGAATTAAAATTACGAATTACGATATAATTGAACTAAAATTACGATGTAATTGAACTAGAATTATGAATCACGATGTAATTGAATTGCGAATTGCGGTGCAATTGAATGAAAATTACGAATTATAGGGTAATTGAACTAAAATTTCGAATTACGATGTAATTGAACTAGAATTATGAATCACGATGTAATTGAATTGCGAATTACGGTTAAATTGGAGTAAAATTACGAATCACAGTGTAATTGAACTAAAATTTCGAATTACGATGTAATTGAATCAAAATGACGAATTGTACTAGAATTGCGGTGTAATTGAACGAAAATTCCGAATTACGATGCAATCGAATTATCTGATTCGATGTAACATCTCGGTGCATCGAACAATGGAACGATCTCTTTCGGCGAACGGCATCGAAACGAGAAAGAACGAGCAAATATAGCGAAGCAATTACGAACGAAAAACGAACGAACGAACAAAGCAAAGCAATTATCGTCATAGTAACAGGGGTTCGCTAGTCCATTTATTATTTGCCATTTGGAATAATATTTCACCCGGCTCTCGCTGCCTCCCAAGCATACTTGACTGACGCAAGGGGGTAAAGAGAATCGCACGGAGGTCGGAAATGTGACGCACGTCCGGGAGGAAGTAGCCGGGACATTAAAATTCAACTTGTTGCTTCTGCCCGGTAGATTCTCCTGTTGGCTGCATGACAAGCCTGATCCACGGGGCCGGGGGGTTGAACACGAGGGGTGAGAGCAAACGAGGAAGGGCGCTCGGTCACGTATCGCTCGGCGAAATGGAAAAGAACGGCCTACTAACCGGGAGGATACCTCGAACACATCCTATCTTGAACCTCGGTTAATCTCCTGTCGAGTCTCCCTTCACCCTAATAAGATTTTCATTCGCTCGCGCGCGGAAGGATACGCTTCGCTTTATGGCGGATTTCTAATCATTTCGTTCGGACTGACAATAAACCGTGACAAATAATTATAAATATTTAACTCAATTATTGACTTGTAACTTATTAATTATTGAAACTTTTAACTTAATTAATATTTAACTAGTGGAAAATGTCATGTTTTCCACATATTTATTTTTTGTCACGCGAAAAAGCCGTTGTCCCAATTTATGCAATCATTTTCCATGATAATGTTTTAATTGTTCTCATAATTTTTAAGCGAGAAACCGGTCATTCGGTAGGTTTACGAGAAGAAAAGATCACGAAATTACGAAAAGGAATAAATGTGCGCGTAGCTTCTCTATCTTGCGACAATTGTCGACGATTTTATTAGGTCGAGCCATAAATAACACTCGACGCAGCTAAGATAAAATCTGTTGTTCGTATCTAACTCATTATGAGTCACCGGGACAAACGAGCTTTCGCTTTCACTAAATATACGAGGGTTCAAAATAAATAAAATAAAAGAGAAAAAGCAAAAAAATAACAAATGAGAGAAAAACAAAATATAAAAAAATGTCCGATAAGAAAACGGAAGTTATTTGTGAATCGACCTGACAATTTCGCATAAAAATCCGCGGTCTAATAATAAAATTCGAGCGTATCGGGGTTAGCCGTCGGGAAGTTCTTCGAAAGTAAGCAAATGCACTCGGTGGCGGATGGTGAAATAAAGTATTCGCGTGTGTACGCAACGACGCAGGCTGAATAATACGAGCATAATGGCGGCCAGGTGGCACTCGTGGGAAGAAAGATAGAAAGGGCCGCAAGGGCCGCGATTCGATGCGGCAGATGCTGCGTTGGTAATGGATCCCCTAACCGGGTTAGCGTCTCTCCGCCGCGGCGGTATGCCGTTCGAATAAATTCCCATTCGGACGCGACACCTACGATCGCGCGAAATACGCGGAAATTTTCGAACTTTGGAAAGGACGCGAAAAATCGCCCTTCGTTTCGCCGCGGCAACGTTCGCCTTTTGTGCTCCTTCGTTCGGCGGCGCTGATATTCCTCTCGGCTTCTAATTCGTTCACCTCCTATTCGCTCGCGATTTCGTAAGAGAACGAGGTTAGTCCTCCGAGGCTGTGCTCGCGATTAACTTCCCTTTCGCCGGGAGAACTCGATGCAAAGTCGCGCCGCGGTATTACGATCGAATTATACTGACGAACTTTCCGATTACGAACGTCACGTTGTTGCATCGTGATTCGATTGCATTGCAATTCATTGTACGACTGCAAAATGCTGAGTACATTGAATTACGTCGATTACGAATTACGGTGCGATTGAATTGGAATTACGAGTTGCGATGTAATTGAACTGGAATTGTGAATTGCGATGCGATTGAACTGAAATTACGAATCACGATGTAATTGAACTAGAATTACGAATTACGGTGCAATTGAACGAAAATTGCGGATCACGATGTGATTGAACTAGAATTACGAATTACGGTGCAATTGAATTGGAATTACGAATTACGATTGAATTGAACTAAAGTTACGAATTACGAATTGCAATGTAATTGAACTGGAATTACGGATTATTATTGCGGATCACGATGTGATTGAACTATAATTACGAATTACGGTGCAATTGAATTGGAATTACGAATTACGATTGAATTGAACTAAAGTTACGAATTACGAATTGCAGTGTAATTGGACTGGAATTACGAATTGCGATGCAATTGAATTAGCACAAATCTGATTGAATTAGTACACATCCTGGTGCTTCGAACAATGGAACGATCTCGTTCGGCGAACGGCTTCGAAACGAAAACAAACGGTCGGTTCTCCGTCGAGTATTCCGGATTTCCTTGGAAACCGCGTGCATCTGGTGCAATACGTTCGCGAGATTTGCTAGAGTGCACTTTATGATAGTATTTATTATGTAGAGAGTGCGTTTTATATTCGAGAATTTATGCTTCGACGGGATAAGTATACGGAATGTGTTGTCGAGCTGAGGCGAATGCGTCGAAGAGAGGTGACTATCGATAACGTTACCTATAAATATCGATTAATATAAACAATCTAATAATATAAAAAAATCTACTATATCGTCGGGCGACAGTTATGCTATCCTTTAATCACGGGTCAACGAAACCTCGCACTTGTACGAGCAATAATCGTCGATATTAAACGGCAACGTGCCGACACTCGTTTTTTCCGGCCGCGGATTTGCATAAACGACGTCGACCCGGCGCATCGTTAAACGACACGGCTGTCGCGACCGTAAAAAGACGGATTACGTGAACCGGTTCCTTGGCGCGGCTTCGCCGGCGAAAAAACGCTTAATAGCGATCAACGATACACCGCGAAACGACGCGGCACGGGCACGTGTCACCCTTTCCTTACGGTTCGGTCACGCGTGACTCGCGTGATCCCCCACCCTCTCCGCGGGGAGAAGAAAAAAGCGGGAGAAAAAAGTTTAGAAGGGAATAAGTTGATTTATTCGCATGAATATTCCATTTCACGGGACGAGCACATGTCGCGCCGACTTGGCCGCACACGTAATCTTCGAATCTCGCCGGTTTTTGCGCCGGCCGCTGGTCTCCTTTCGAGAACACGACGGTCCCGCCCCGGATTTTTCCGATCGTTCTTTCAAGTCACCGTTCGTTCTAACAGCTCCGTTCTCCGTTGCTTTCGTTGCAGAGGCCGCAGACGAAGATCCGCAACGAACAATAGACTCGAGACGCTGCAGCGCATCATGCGATACGTCGCGAACAATCCGGACGCGCTCGACGAGGAGAACATTCTCTCTCTGCCAATGGTAAGCCTCCTACGATTATCTCTTTGAAAACATCGTGCTTAAAAACACCGTCTTCTACTCGGGTTTGCATTTTTTTAAAATGAATTTGCAATGTCGCGACGAGCAGCGATTAGAGGATTCGAGTTCGTCCCTTTTGAATCGAAGTCGAAGTTCCAATTGCAAATGCATTGTTCGAATTGCATTGTTCTCGCTCAAATTTGTTTACAGTAGACACGCTACAGCTCGAATGAATTTTTTGTTATATTAAGAGGGATGTTTTTTCACGCTTTCGCGGCAGAATTTCAATCGAACGTCGTCTCCGACCGAATCTAATTTACGAAGCATCACGTTGCTCCGCATATCGGCGCGTGTCGCGAAAAGAACGTCGTATTTATCTTGCGGGAAGAAGCATATTTTCCATGAATGCACTACGAGATTTCGCGTTGTCTCGTTTAAACTTACGTTACGACGTTTATTAACTTATATTGCAACGTTGACGGAAATGTTCGAAGTCGCGAATTGTTCCATTAAATCGAAATGATAGCAAAATTGAAAGAACACACTTTTGTCATTGTCTAGTATACTCAACCCTCTATCACCTAAAAAAAATGAATTCAACTCATTTGATGCAGTTGCAAAAAAGTTATTACGTTTTAAAAGGTTAAAGTTGTTAAAGTTATTGCACTGTGTTCGCCGTAAATATCAGTTCAAATTAGAGCAAAATTATACGTAATTGCGAATAATATTATTTAGAATCGCTCGACGCGTGATTTCGATGGACGATGGCCCAACACATAAACGTAGCCATAATCACGAGACACGCGTAAATAAGTTGTTCAACTCGCAGTCTTTTCTTGCGACTAATATCGCGAAGCAAATCATTTGTGAAACGTCGCCGGTGATCGCAATTTTCGCGATTACCTGAACGACAATTTTCCAATTAGGATTCATTAGCAACGAGCGATCGATCGAGACGATTTATGGAATCCTTCGGGCGATGAATGAATCGTCGCGGTTGCGTAACGAACGGTCGCGGGCCCGAGACCGCGTTATACATAATCCCGTTGCGACGATCCTGATTGATTCGCGTAACACTCCGTGTTTTTCACGATAAGCGACGCGCGCTAATTGCGACCGCGCCGATAATCGGGCCGCGTGAAAAATTCATTCAGCCGGGAATCGACGGCACGCGCCCGTCGAACATGAACTCCGTGCAGAACGCGTGACCTTTTTCTAACATGCAATACAACTTTGCAGCGCAGTTCATTCGCGGCTGTTTAACCGCGATTTTCACCGGTTTCGAATCGCCGCCGAATCCGACGAAGTTCGCGGCCGAAAAAAATCTTTCGCGATGGACGCCGCGTCCGAAAAATACGACGATTCGAAGCATCTGCTGCGATTTTTGTTCGCGCGAAAATTAGGGTCACGTGACTTGCACTGGTTCCGTTGAGAATTGCGGAATTTCCGATGATTCGTGATGATTTGCAATGAAAGATAATGACTTGCTATGGAAGATAATGATTTGTAACGATTTGTAACGATTTAGGATGACTCATAATGTCTTATAATGTCTTATAGTGTCTCATAATGATTTATAATGATTTATAATGATTTACAATGATTTACAATGATTTATAGTGAATTTATAACGATTTACAATGATTTATAGTGAATTTATAACGATTTACAATGATTTATAGTAAATTTATAATAATTTGTAATGACTTACAAAGGAAGATGATGACTTATAACGATTTATAATGACTTCAAATGATTTATAATGATTTACAATGATTTATAGTGAATTTATAATGATTTACAATGATTTATAGTAAATTTATAATGACTTATAATAACTTATAACGATTTATAATGACTCAAAATGATTTATAATAATTTATAATGATTCACAATGATTTACAATGATTTACATCGATTTAGAATGATTTATAATGCTACAAATTCTTGTGGCAGATTAAAATANATTTATAGTGAATTTATAACGATTTACAATGATTTATAGTAAATTTATAATAATTTGTAATGACTTACAAAGGAAGATGATGACTTATAACGATTTATAATGACTTCAAATGATTTATAATGATTTACAATGATTTATAGTGAATTTATAATGATTTACAATGATTTATAGTAAATTTATAATGACTTATAATAACTTATAACGATTTATAATGACTCAAAATGATTTATAATAATTTATAATGATTCACAATGATTTACAATGATTTACATCGATTTAGAATGATTTATAATGCTACAAATTCTTGTGGCAGATTAAAATAAACTTGTGCCGCGAAAGGAGAGCGAAGTTTCTTGCTGTTGATATTATGTACGTAAATTACAAGTTAACTATTTGATCGATCACGATGCAATCAATAACCGTGCAAGATCAACTTCGTTAATCGTCCGCTCGTAAATTCACAGCTCCACGTAGTAGATTCGCATAGCGGTTTCACCGTTGCTCGTGTTCGTTGCACTATGTTGCGCATAGATACGGGAAGCGGACGATGATGTGCGCGTAGGCAATACTTAAAAATTATAGTTTACTCATACCGCAATTATCTCTGCAACTCATTCATAGATCAGCCGCCGCGTAACCTATGGATTCGCGGAAGTCTATGATTCGGTCGGAAATATAATGGCGAAGGATTGCGAACTTGCTGAAGCAAGCGAGACGATTTCCAGGGTTCGCGAAAATTCAATGATGTTTCCACGATCGAATTATACGGACATCGATGGTAACCGAATAAAATAGCGGTGATATTTAATAATCGTTCCATTTTCGATTCGCGCAACGCGAACGCGAGCTGTCGAATCTGGATTGGCTCGCGAACGCGAGAAACAGTCGAAAACATCCCTCTTGGTTCGATCTCTCTGCTGTATTAAATTCCTCGCCTGATCTATTTAATTTTTTGTACCATTGAAAAATAGCGTAATGATTTATTATGATTTTTATAATGATTTTATGATGATTTATAGTGATTCATACTGATTTATAACGATTCTATAATGACTTATAATGATTTACAATGATTTATAAATGATTCACAACGATCTATAGTGACTCATAATGATTTATAATGACTTATAATGGATGATAATGATTTATAACGATTCTATAATGACTTATAATGATTTACAATGATTTATAAATGATTCACAACGATTTATAGTGACTCATAATGATTTATAATGACTTATAATGGAAGATAATGATTTATAACGATTGTACAACGACTTATAATGATTTACAATGATTTATAGTGACTCATAATGATTTATAATGACTTATAATGAAAGATAATGATTTATAACGATTATATAACTACTTATAATGTGATTTACAATGATTTACAATGATTTACAATGACATCGACGTTTCGATTGTGCACAAAAATGATCGCGCCAGCTATAAATCACATAGGCGTAGGACTAGCGACTAAAATTCGCAGCAGCCCAAAATTTAGCATTTCCGGGAGAAATTACAGTATAATCGAACATCTGTCGACAGCATTCAGTAACGAACACCGTTGTTTTTCTTCTCGAATTTCAGAAGATGAAGGAGTCCTTGCGGGGAAACGACGTCGACTACCAGTTCATTTAATTTCCGGCGCACGACAGGTCGCGTCGGCGTGTATGGGGCGAGAACGAAGAAGAAGAAGAAGAAGACAGACAGACAGACACACACACACACAGTCGAGAGTGTACCAAACGCTTGAGGAATGATAAAAAAAAAAGAAGAACAACACGATCTCTCGACCCTTAAAGCCGCCTGAACAGTATTACGGACCGTTCTCCGTCCGAGCTTAAACTTTTAACGAACTCACACTAATTAGGATACTTAAGTGACTAACGACGGCGTGGAATGGATGTCGCAACCGATGGATAAAAGGGAGGAAGAGAGAAGAATACCCGATCGGCGGCGCCAACAACAACAACAAAATATGGCCGCCGCGCGGGCACGGCTGCTCGAAGATGTCACATTCGGACGTGTTCTTTCGTCGACGATTCGCACCACCGCTGCAACCCCCCCACCCCCATTCGTTTCCGTTCGTTCCTCTGTATTATTCTCTCTAAGTAACTTATTGTCTAGTTAACTTATTTTTACATTATTTATTGATCTTCCGCGCGTTTATATCGTTAAGTCGATTGCGATCCGCGGGCGCGTTTTAACGAGACCGGCGCGAACGGGGACCCGTAAAAAAAACGCTCGAGAACGTTCGATCTTTCTGCACCGAGCCGATTGTTTCTACTTTTATTTTCTCTTTTGGTTTTCTTGTTGTTAAAGTCTCGCAAGAAATATATTTTCGAAAAGCGTTTTCGTTCGATCGTGAGCGAAACGGTCGCGAAGAATTCTGCGCGTATTTTCTTTCAGAAGACACGACTTCTTGTTTTTTATTTCATACGCGACTTTTTTTATACTTTGTTATTATATTGTAATGCTATTCTCGTTTCGCTCTCCTCGTTTCGCTTCGCTGTCACGGCCGATTTCGACCGATCGAACGTTTTCTCGAGCGACGCGTTTCCCGCGACGCTCTCGGATCGAGCCTCCGTTTCAACCGCAGCGAATTGAAATGGCGCGGCCCGATCGAAAGAGCCACGCTCGGGGATCACCGACGACGTTCCGACCACGTCGTAATCTCTTGATCGATCGCGATCCGCGACGTCAACCGCGTATCTCGATTCGCTAGATTTAGTTTGTATTCGTTCGCCTTCCAGTGGCTCGAGAGCGTTGAATCTGAATAGTATTTATTAGTCGTCGATGTTCGGCGAAGTGTTGCCATTTTATCGGCCGCCGCGATCTGAACTCTGAACGAATATTTTCTGAAATTCAATCGATGCCGGATGAGCTTTCTTTAAATCACGATCTTCGTTTTTTGTAATAATAGTCGGTCGACCGCAAAAGTTCAAATTCAGGCTTCTGCAACCTGTAAATTCAATCTTTGTCCTAAATCATGCATTTTATTATGAAGTACACGAATTTATGATAAATTCAGTATATATATATTTGGTATTATTAAATATTAAATATATATATTTGCATATTTTTATTGTAAATTACACAAACATGTTAAATAAGTTGCATATGTAATATAATAATATATTATACAATAATAATATAATATATATTATATTATATATTATGTAATATTATATAGTATAATACATTATATAATATAATATATAATGGAATATATAATATAATACAATATAATATATGATATATTATATAAATTACACAAATAATGAAATATAAAACATATAATAAAAAAATATATGTATATACATATATTTAATATTTAATAATACAATATATATATGTATATTTTCATTATAAATTTGTGTAATTTATGATAAAAATTACAGATTGCAGTCGACCGACTAGCGAACGCAAATTGAATTCGACATTTTCGCGTTGCCGATCGTTGCCGATCGCATTAATGAATTTCAATGAATATTCGAGCATAAGTTTTGATTTAACGAGCGCCTCGTAGTTAGGAGAATCACGATTTTCGAGCATGAATCGAGACGTCCCGATCCAGGCCCTCGAAGACTTCGTAAATTGCGGGAAAGATCGCGTCGCCTAGACAATTGTTCCCGCGATAACCGCGCGCCGTCTGCCTTAATTATTATTTATAGCAACGTGAAATTTCGTTCTCGAGGGCTCGATCGTGGATCTCGTCGCGAAACGGCAACGTTGAGCCACTGTGATCACATTATTAAGAGAATCTGCCGTCTCTCGGTTTCGATCATTCAGAATTCACCGGATTTCTGTTCGCCGTTCATTATTATTATTTTTTTCGCGACTGCGACCGGACCGTGCCAGTCGTTTTCTCGATTGTTCGACGAGCAAGGATACGAGGCTGTGAAAATGTACGCGACATTTGTCGGGAACACGAAGTGGTCGCGTCGTTTCCATGATTTTCCATCGGCGTTTTCTACGCCCGGCGAATTAGTTAATTTCTCGCGTATAAAAGCCGCAGGGCTCCTCGTATTATTTTGTCCACCATGTGTGATGCGTTTTATTTATTTTCTTGTACAGTTTTTTTTTTTTTTTAGTCGACGATCCTTGTCGAATGGTTCGCCGCGCTCGGTGAAATTTGTCCGACGTCGACGACGACGAACGCGTAATTAGCATCGACGCGTTGTGTTAGCCGCTAATTACGCGGAGGTCAGTGTCGGTAGTCGTTCCACGATGTCGATGGGGATGGTTACGGTGTAACCGACGCGATCGCGCACCGTTCGAACTTTTCTAATATAAGTTATTTATTTATTTATTTAATTGTACTAGCGCTAGACGAAGTATTAAAGACACTGTCGCCCGTAACGCGGCATCGATGTATTCGAGCAATGTGCGTATTATTTTATTTATTCCACTGCAATAAAAATTATAATCGGCTACGCCCGTGTCTCATTCACCCCTACCCCCTAATTCTAATTACAAGATCGCCGATAAATCGTTAATGCAACCGCGAGACTTCGTCCGCGGCGCGTCGGAAGATTTTTTGAAAACGTTTGCACCGATTTCGGGTATCTTTGGCGATAATTAGAAGCAAATATCTGGGAAATGAATTTAGGGGAAAGATAATTTCCAATGGAGACGTCAATGAAACTCGACTGTTTTTTTATAGTCGGAGGCAGAATAGAATCGGCGGACATCGACGAACGTGTTCTTCAAATAATGAATTTCAATTTTTTCGAACATTTACCGAGGCATTTATCGAGATTTCGCAAGTCGAACTGTTGCGAGCGCACTTTGCGTATGCGCCCGATAGCGCAGCGACGTTTGGAAACGCTCTAAAAAATTCTGTTTAGCTTAGGGCTCCGGGATCTTATCCTATAACAACCGGCAGGCGTACATATTGACCGGTACGAGGTCAGGTGCAATAACATCGACTATGCTTGCGCAAACAAATTCATGTCTAAGAGGAGGCCTCGATAGTACCGGCCGAATAGTACTCGATGCATTCCAGCTCGATGAATGGACTGCGAGTATTTATGCAGAATTTATATTTCCATTGATTCGCTTCGGGAAACTGGGGCCGGCTTCCGATATTAATTGTTTCTTGTGAAACTTGCTCGATTTTTATGATTATTTTGTATTGACGAATTTAACGATATGCGCAACGATATGGCGCAAAATTTAACGATATGTAAACATTTGACGCAGTTGAACGCGCATTTGGGATTTTTCTTTATCTAGCAAACATATTTGTTGAAGCAGTGAATATACTACTATGATAATTATTGATGCTGTTCTATTGCATTATATTACACCAAGTTGCTCGAACTATGATCTTGTTTATCTTCTATTCTTAATTTGTTATACATAAACATTATTATATATTATTTTCTTCTTTTCTTAGTATATCTTCTTTCTCTTTTCGTTGCGCGTATGTTTTTCTTTTCCTCCTTAACCCTTTCAATTTTTTAAAGCATTTGACAGATTTGACCTCGTCTGATTAATAATCTAATAAAATCTCTAGCAATCTAATTAATATGCTACTATGATAATTATTATTGCTGTTGCATTACGTTCGTTGTTCGAACCATAATCTTATTTATATTGTATTCATAATTTATTATACATAAACATTAGTATATATTTTTATTAGTATATATTTAGTATATATTTTCTTAGTACATCTTTTTCCTCTTTTCGTTGCACGTATGTTTTCCTTTCCCCCCTCGATCCATTCAATTTTTTAAAGCATTTGACTGATTAGATCTCGCCTGATTAATAAATATGATTAATATATGTATATATGATTGTGATATCAGAAAATCGAGGCACGCATGCAAAACTGTGACACTGAGACGAAATCGGCGCGTAGTCGGCAACACGTTCCGATGGAATAAACGCAAGGTCAAGACTTATCGTTTGGATTAACTCGAGACTAAGGCCGAAAAGCAGAAGTTAAAAACAATTCAGGGGCAAGCAACTAGGTCAAGAACCAGGTCAAGATCTGAGCACACATCAACGACACGCTCAGATCTCGATAAGATGAGCTTCGATGTCTCTGAAGATATCGACGTTCGATTCGCCGTTAAATAAATTGCATTTCGCGGCGAGATTATCTTGATGAATAAACCTTTTTCATCGTCGTGGGTATAATAAGAAATATTTTCTTGAGTAACGACAGGAAGCGTAATTAGCGAATTAAAATCATCGAGTAATCTTTCGGCTAGTTTAACGAGAAAAAAAATTGTTCTACTTGAACTTTGACCTGTCAGTTAACTTAAATAACAATTCAAAAATATAGTTGAATCAATAGTCTCAGCTACGACACTAACTTCTTGGATAATGATTACATTTATTTATTTATACCGGACCCTGTTAATTTCAAGTGTGAAAACTGATTCGAAGACAATTTTGCTGCTTCGATTTAATTTGTCATTGCAATCACGTCAACGCGATTAATAGCGAAACAAAAGAATTATATCGAATCATGTTCATCCTAAATTATTTGTCGAAATTGTATTATATATTTAACGAAGGCATATTTGTTTAAGGAATTATAGTCGTGATCGCATGGCAAGTAGGAATCTCGACTATTACTATGAGCGAGAGTTTCGCTCGTAATCGCCGTATCTTTTCCCCACGTTAACATATTAATGCGTCGAACGATAAATATTCATTAATACCTTCGAACCCCGTTAATTCGCTATCTGAGCTCCCTCTGCAGATGTAACGAGCGAAACATTTAATGCTGGTCGGTAAATGT